AAATTTAACAGGGAGGAAGTTCAACGCCAACAGCTGACAGTAAAGCTCCATTTCAGGGTTCTGTTGCCTTGCCCCCACAAATGTTCACCTTCTTCAGGCAGCCATACCCTCCCAACTACATTCCCTACAGTCCTTACTATTCCCAGCTTTACAATTATATGCCCCCTCAAAATGCACACCAGCTGATGAGCTCTAGTGGGTTCACCCATCAGCCTTCACCGGGTCCCATTTATGTACCACAGTCTGCTTCTGCTGCTAAATTGCCCGTCGCAAACACGACCAACTTCGGAAATTTTCCATATGGGGCTCTTGGTTATGGTTCCGGTGCAGTTTTGCCTGCTGCCAGCAAGGATGACAATATTTCGGGATCTGAGCTCAAAGATAACAATATGCACTCCAATATCAAACAGGTTTCTGATAGTTTATTGGACTGCGTGATTTATAGAATGCATAATAATTAAGTGTTTGATGATCCTTCATTAAGGTTTAACATATCCATTCACCAAATATATTAATTACGACAAATTTGGTAAAAATCTGGTTTTGCTTTAGCTAATTTTAATAGGCTTTTCCTAAAATTTATCAGTCTTTTGTTTGTTTGCTTTTTAACAATAATTAAATTTGATAGGAAATGGGTGATAATTCACACCTAGTGTCTGGTGCATCTGGACGGGACACATCAGTTTTGCAGTCGAATGTTTTTTACAACTTGCCACATGGATTGTCAATGGGCTTTCCACCTTCGTTTGCTGGTATTTATCATCCGTCCCAGAGCATGTCTGCATCAACCCACCACTCTCAGTCGACCGAATCTATTGTTTCTTATCCTCAGTTGCCACAGTTTCCACCAATACCTCAAGAGAAATGATCAGTTGGAAGGGAAGAGCTTTTCCACTCTTTTTGAATTTACTAATGGGTAGTTCTTGTTTATTATTTTCAGCTTTTGTTGAGGCGTCTTGAGAGATGTGTGCAAATTTTGATGTGGAAAAACATATTCCAAATACATACCTGAAATTGTTCAGACTATCAAGATATTGAAGAGTTGCAAGAAAGCAAACTACTCCACACAGTATATACATAGGAATGTTCTTTCATCTAATATCCAATCACATTATCCAACTCTGCTGGGATTTACACTCATGGACTGATAATTCTGCCCTCGCTGATGATATTCTGTAAAAGAGGAGCCCTTTTGTCATTTGATTCCATGTTTTTCGTGGAGCCCTCGTCATCCTTAGTCATCTTTGCTTCTTTGGCTTTTCCCCATATGACACAGTAAAAACCAACCACGGTAACAATTGACCCTATTAGACTGTGACAAATTGAAGTGGCAGTTTTAGATTACTTATATTACTTATATGAGGAACATATTACTATTGAATCATGTTCATCTTTTCACAACGCAACGAGTATGCATGGTTAGAGATGGAAAAGTGAAGGAACTCGATGTAATTATTGTCTGTTCTTTTNAAAAAAAAAAAAAAGAAAAAAAAAGTACCTTCCAAGATAGAGGGCCTCTCCCAAAATGATGATACCAAGTGCAATTGCAAAAATAACTCCCAAAGGATGGAAAAGTGATACAAACACTGGTCCCTTTCTTCTCACACACCACATTATAATCGATACTTGAAATGTATTTCCAAAAAAAGCCTGGAAACAGCCAAAACATATGCCGATTGAGATATTTACACTTAATTGGTCGTAAAGTATAGATTTTTTCTGCACTTACCGAGTATATAACAGGAATCAACCTCATCTTAGGCTTGAGGTTCCATGCATTTAAGTCTTTTTCAACAATCAAAGAGACTAGTGCTGATAAAATGGCGATAAAGCAGCTGTAGAATAACATGAGAATGAGCTCTGCATGGCATTTTCTGAGAACCATGGCCTGTATACAGAAAATTGGACAAACAAAAGTTGTCATTTATACCGCTAATTTGATGTTTACAACAAGAGGTTCACCTTAAAAAGAAAAAGAAAATGATTGTAGAATTTTGAACTTAAACTCATGAAGGACACATCTCAAGTTTAGTATAATCTTACTTGTGCAATGATAAACAATGCTGACACCACACAGTCGATGATAAGAAGCAATCCCCCGATTAGCCAAGCAGACGAGTTCGTGTTCGTGGGAATGTGAAAAGAAGAAGCATTATTTGAGACATGAGATGAAAATCCCATAATTGGAGGGCCCTGATAAAGAGTTATGATTAGAGCACCAACCACTGCTACTAGAGTCCCTATAGATTTAGCCACTGTGGTATTACTTGTGATTTTGAANAAGGAACATTAGATTTCACATGTCAAACTTTTTAATATACACTCATCTGTTTAGGTGACGAATAACCTGAAAATGACAGCAAAAACGAAAGTGAAACCAGGAATAAGGTTGAGTATTGTAATCGAGAGCGTGGCAGAGGCAAACAGAATCCCAGCATATCCTAATATCTGCACTATGAACCTATAATATTAAATAAAGAAATGGTTACACAATTTCTTGTACAGACAAAATCATTTGAGTTGATAAACAAAATAATTCCAGATTCACGTACCCAATAAAGCCAAGCAAGAAGAACCCACACACGAAAGTGAGAAAAAGCGGAGGAAGAGCAGATCTGCGAGTTAAGTTAAGAAGAAATTGAGAAAGAAAGTATTAGTAAAGAACAAATTGCATATGTGAAGTAGTATATATTTGTTTTCCCCTTTAGTTACCTGTAAATGACAAAAGAGAGTGGAAGCAGAATAAGGGAGGCAAGTGCATTTGAATAGGAAGCAAATGTGAAAGGAGTCATCCCATTGGACATTGCTAACTTGCCTGCTAACATTAAGCCAACCTGTGCAAATTGTACTGTCACCATTCCCACATATGGACCTGCTCTCTCTATCAACCCCATCTCTCTCTCTCTCTCTCTCTCTCTCTCTCTCTCTCCCAAACAGAGAACTCTGAGTGCACTAACCAGTATAAGTCTGCCTGTGTTTGGTTCAACTGAAAGCTACTGACATATAAAAATGTAATTTTGGTCAGCTGGAGTAATTAATAAATAAGTCTATTAATTTGGGTACAGAAGCATAAGAGTTGTGTGTCAAGAATTACTATAATGTAAGAATTATGGGGCTGAAACTATAATTGAGAATTATTTCTTTACATGTATACCCTTGGATCGAGGTTGTTTCACATGCAATTAATAGAGATAT